TCATCACATTGAATTTCTTCATACACTTTGACTTTCCTTTAAGTAAAATGTCTTAATTAGGATTTTAAATCAACTAATTTACTTGTGCATTTATGCTCGGTGTAATTTAGCATCATGTGAATGAGGAAAAAAACATTCTGAAGGCAAACATGAATGTTCTCAACATAAATGAGTTTATGGCCCTGGGAAAAGGCCAGGAGTCAGTCAGAAATAGATGTGACCTCCGTGACCCCAGACTGACCTGGAAGAAAAACGGAACGAACAAACTCTTCAATAAAAGGCAGTCACTGAACAAAAGTGCTAATTAAAAATATGCCATTTGTTAGACAAAATAAAGTTTTGGTAACACTTCCTCTTACAGTCCCGTAATTACAGAGTACTTACATGGTAATTGCATAGTAAGGTAAAGTGTATTATTGTGTAATTAATGTGTATAATTGTAATGAAGTGATTCGGAAAAGGGTAGAATGCCTTCTCCAGGTCAGGGATGAGGTCCTGCCTCAAGTGGAGGAGTTAAAGTATCTCGGGGTCTTGTTCACGAGTGATGGAAAGCTGGAGCGTGAGATCAATAGGCGGATTGGTGCTGAATCTGCAGTGATGCGGGCATTGTACCGGTCTGTCGTGGTGAAAAGAGAGCTGAGCCAGAAGGCGAAACTCTCGATTTACCGGTCGATCTACGTTCCTACCCTCACCATATGGTCATGAGCTTTGGGTAGTGACTGAAAGAACAAGATTGCGGATACAAGCGGCCGAAATGAGTTTTCTCCACAGAGTGGCTGGGCTCTCCCTTAGAGATAGGGTGAGAAGCTCGGTCATCCGGGAGGGGCTTGGAGTAGACCCGCTGCTCCTCCACATCGAGAGGAGCCAGTTGAGGTGGCTCGGGCATCTAGTCAGGATGCCTCCTGGACGCTTCCCCTGGTGAGATTTTCCGTGCACGTCCAACTGGTAGGAGGCCTAAAGGTAGACCCAGGACTTGTTGGAAGGACTATGTCTCTCACCTGGCCAGGGAACGCCTTGGGATTCCCCCGGAACAGCTGGTGCAAGTGGCTGGGGGGAGGAAAGTCTGGGCCTCTCGCCTTAGGCTGTTGCCCCCGCCACCTGACTCCGGATAAGCGGATGAAAATGGATGGATGGATGGATGGATGGATGGATGGATGGATGGATGGATGGATGGAAAGTCTGCTGGTAGAAAATTGAAACAAAAACAGGAAACTTTTCTATTTCCCTTTTAAAACATTCAAAATTTTAGTAAATATACATGACCACTCACCCAAAATGTAAAAAATGAGGGTAGAAAGATGAAATTTTTTAAAAATGTGGTGAAAGGGTTGATTTTGAGCGGGTGGATTTCCCTGTAAACCTTGTGACCAACTAAGATATTTACATTTTTCCTCTGGAATCGCATCAGGAACTGAGACGACTCATCCTTACACTGATTTACAGAATCCTCATAAAAGCTGTTCTCCACCTGCTTAAACAAAACTCTTCTTTTAATAATCTGATAGTTATTTGTGCTGCATGTTGAGCAGGAGCTGAATTTCTCTCTCTTCGCTCGCCTTGTGAAGACGTCAAGCTGAAAGATGTCTCTTTACAGAGTGAGTGCTGCAGCTTTCGGTGGTTTTCCAGGCAATTCTAGAAGACTCTAAGTATTCTGAGTGGTTGCTGTCGTGACACAGAGGAATACTTAAAGACATTAGTGGTGCAGTGCGGCCCGAGTCTGTGGTTCTGTTCAGCCAGTAAACGTCACTGGATGGGAGATGTTTTGGCTGCATGTAAACAGGCACTGAAAGCCTAAAATAGGCCAGAGCTTGCCCATCTCAGGTGGTACATCATTCTCTTTGTCACAGATTATATAATCCACAGAACAAGAAAGCTGTTAACTGCATTGTTGGTTCATTTTTAAAACACAGAAAAGGTTTCTCTCTACCTTGCTGACAGTTTTGTTTGCGGCTGCAAAGAGAAACCCTTTCTGGGTTTTAAAACAACAACAACAATGCAGTTAGAAAAGCAGCACAGCAGGAACATACCAAAGAATACAGCTGCTGGTTTTTTACTCTGTTTATTAAGACAGAGACATTTAGAAATATCTCCCTTTATTTAATGAGAGTATAACGTTTAGACCTGTTAGAATATAAGGGCTTGAACATGTGTCTAAAATGAAAGATGGCCTTTAAATGTTGCTGCTCTGAAGCTCTGAAGCTTCTTATAGACGCTGTTAGTAAAAATGAAGCTTTTGCCGACTCTACAGGCAGCTGAAAACACTTTTCTTGCTTCATTTAACAACGATTTACCCAATTAAACAAAGCTGCTCAAGTCCTTCAGGGTTAAGAACATTACTTGTTTGGAGAAGATGCAAATGCCACATTATTTCAGTTTAAAGCCTGCCGCACACGAGAGCAATCTGCTGAGTAAACGGCCTCAAATGACCGTTTGCTCAGCAGATACCTCGCCGTGTGCGCCTGATTTTCACTGGGTTTTCTGCCTCATGAGGCGCTGAGCCGAATATCTGACCAGTTAGATATTTTTCCCCTTACGGGGGGAATCTTTTTTTTAGGTTTTTATTGTTGATCTGTTGTATCTTGTTTTATCTTGTACAGCGCTTTGGTGTAGCTTTGCTGCTGTAAATGCACTCTATAAATAAAATTGACCTTGACCTTGATTGGTCAAATGATGATTGGCACGCTACAACAAAGATAGTTTGTGAGCAAGATAAATCCTCCTCCTTTCTCAGACTGATGCTCATAAAGAGTGACTGAAAGGCACTGCTGAAACCCGACCGAAGAGCCCCCAGAAAAAACCCTTCGGACCTATACGACTTCACTTGGACGCCATGTTTGGCTTCAAGAAAAGATGACAAGTTTGCAGGTATGTACTTGAATAGGCTACATGCATTTTCTCTATTACTTAAAGTAATCTCCTAATATGGTGACGACTTCCTGTGCTGCAAGGCCCCTCTGTGAAATTTACCAGCTGGGTGTCCTGCCCCATCGACTCTGAGGACACCTTCTCAATCACCACCATTTCTGTTTATCCAAAGCAACAGCTGCACTTGCATCTCCCACATTTATACATTTTCTTCCATTTTCAAACGCCACATCCAGCAGACAAATGTTACGGTTATATATTTTTATTCTCATAAATAATAAGGTTCATGATTCATGGCATACTACCAGACTCAATGATGGCAATTCTGCTTGTTCCAGTCATTAAGAACAAATCTGGGAAGGTGACCAGTATGGATAATTATAGGCCGATTGCACTAGCCAGTGTTTTATCTAAAGTTTTTGAAAGAATCATATTTGATAGAGTCACTGTGTACCTCAGTTCCTTGGATAATCAGTTTGGCTTTAAGCCAAAACATGGTACTGACATGTGTATATACACACTTAAAGAAATGGTCAACTGGTACAGAAATAGAAATTCTTCTGTCCTTATGTGTTTTATTGATGCTTCTAAGGCTTTTGATCGTGTAAACCACAGAAAACTTTTTATTAAGTTAAAGCTACGGGGGGTTCCTGGGTTTATTGTGAGAATCCTGTCTTACTGGTATATATGCTCATCAGATGATGCAGGTTAAATGGGGTGCCAGCATCTCTGCACCATTTGGCGTTAGTAATGGTGTTAGGCAGGGTGGAATTCTGTCTCCTATCTTATTTAATCTGTACGTTGACGATCTGTCAGTGCAGCTGAGAGCCTGTAACACAGGATGTTTGATGGGTACAACTTTGATCAACCATCTGATGTATGCTGATGATCTGGTGGTCTTTAGTCCAAGTAGTGCTGGTTTACAGCAGCTCCTAAATATCTGCTCTGAATATGGTGTGCAGTACGATATTCAGTATAATGCTGTTAAAAGTGCTATCTTGATATGTAGAACCAAGCAGGATAAAAAGCTAAACTTTCCTGTGTTCAAACTGTCTAATAGTGATCTTAATGTGTGTGAGAAGGTGAAATACCTTGGCCACTTTATTACTGATCAAATGCGTGATGATGCTGACATCCACAGACAGTGCTGTAAGCTGTATGCACAAGCTAATACTATAGCACGTAAGTTTGGTTTTTGTTCACCTCCAGTTAAGGTGGCTTTATTTAAAGCATATTGTACTCCGCTCTACACAGCCCAACTGTGGTCATCCTACAATCAAAGCAGCATGAACAAGCTGCAAGTTGCATACAACGATGCCTTAAGGATCATACTTAAAATACCCAGAGGGGGCAGTGCCAGTCAGATGTTTGTAACAGCAGGCGTTTGTACTTTTAAAGCTCTTTTAAGAAAACTCATATTCACTTTTACAGGTCGACTGGATAGCTCTGTCAACAGTATAATTTTAGCAATCACTGATCCTACTGTGAGCAGTTGTCGCTATTTCTCCAGTATAAGGAACCACTGGTTGAAGTGTTTGTGTGGTTAACCTTGTGTGGAACAGTTTATAGTAAAGCTTTTAATTACATTTAGATTTTTATTCAATTTTATGCTGTTATCTTTTTATTTCCATTTATCTATTTTGTTTCATTGATCTGTTGTTTTATATGTATTTTATCTGGACCTAAGAGTCTGTCAATAAAGATTATCTATTATCTATCTATCTATTAATAAAACGCTACATCAGCTTTTAAAAACTTGCCCTCCAACATTATTTATAAACAGGCAGGAATGGCAGCTGACTGGACGACCTTTTAGATTTGTGACCCTAATAGTTGTAAAAAAAGTGATTTCATCTCAGAGGTGTTGACCTTTTGAACGAGAGTCTGCGCAAAGAGCCACTTACTTCCTGTTCCTGTGCAGGAGTAATTTACAGCCACTGAGCTAGCCAAACGCTAATGGATTGGTATTGATAAACCTGTGCAGGAGAGCCAAATATTGATCAGAAAATCTTAGAAACCAGAACAGTTTAAATAGAGTAAGACAAACAGCTGCTGATATATTTGTCGTTTCACTTAAACTGCAGAAGCTTTCTAAAACTTTGATTACGAGGGAATTCTGAAGCTGACACAATGAAAACGTTTAAAATATCTTTAATCATTGATTTACAGACCACATATATATAATTCTCCATAACAACAATTACAGCCAGTTAATCATTGAAGCACACTTCCTGTTTACAAAGAGAAAAGTAACTGTTGTTCATCTGGTTAGATTGCATAACGAAATAATAAAGAAAAATAAAACCAAGACGTTCCACTCAGTCAGGCGGGATCATCACTCAGCTGAACCACCGATGGCCTCTGAGGCTTTCATCTTTAAACTGCTTTGTTTTGGCTGGGTTGAGGTTTGGATCTGGATCGTTGAGATCTGGTCCAGTGAGCTCTCAGTGGGACTCGTTTCCATTTTCTATCAGCATTTTGAGATGTGAACAGACACAGACAAGCAAATGCTCGAAATATGAAGAAGATACAAGGAAAAGAAACATGTCACTTTGTGAAAACTTCCTTGAACTTTGAGTTGCACTCGTTGCATGAAAAGTGCTTCATGAATACAATTTGATTTGATTTGTGGCTGAATGCTTATTTTTCTGAGACCAGAATTCAACATCAAACATCTCATTATCAGTCGGCCGACGTCTATTAAAATCTTTGCTCATTATTTTCTAAGTTTGTCCAATTTCTTTCAGTAAAGTATTAAAACGGAATTTTTGATCATGAAAATATTTAAAATTGAGCTCCTTCTAATTAAAATGGAGTAAAACACGACTTGCAACAGTTTTAAAGCATAAAAAGAGATCATTATTTCACCAAATCAAGCAACATGTGCTGAGCACATCTGTGATCACATCTGGATCTTTCCAACTGCTTTACAACATGCTGCATTTAGTTGAACGTGGGAATCAGATTTCTTAGCTTCCAGTTGGAGAAATCTAAAATAAAAACTGCAGCTGAAGCCAAATTTCCAACTCGGGACTAAAACACGGGTTTTACATTATATCGTGGACTGACTCATTGTGAGCAGCCACGTTAAAGTCGTTGTGTCCACACGCCGGTGTACTTTAAATTATCAGATGTTTTAATTGTTTCATCTGCCATTAAACAAAGTGCCTCCACTTCCACCACTGCAAGTATTGTTTTATATAACCACAAGAGCTGGCGCCTGCTCAACCCCATTGCCATGGCAACCACAACGTGGATATCCACTCATCTAATCACGCCATTTATCTTGTTCCCAGAATAGCGTGAGGGAGCAGGTACTCAATGCTTAGAAAAACACACCAGCGCACATCAGGCACTCGATAACAATAACAGAACTCAAAGTAAGTTATTTGCATATCTTCATTTACTCCAAAAATACATTCTCTTTGTGCAAAATCTGTTTTCCAAAAGCTTTAGTAACGCTTCTAACTCACGTGCAGAAATGATCAGACCACAAATAATCGCTGTTCTGTAAATCTCTGCTATAAAGTGGTTAAAGTAGTGATTATGTTCCAAATTTAAACTGGACCTGACTGGAGAAAGTACATTAAACCATTATTGGCTGCAGCATATCTCCAGAAAGACACACTATAGGGCTGATGTAATGAGTTTGACAGCTCTGTCTCCTGCACTATTTTCTTTCCGTTGCCTCAGCTCGTTTGGAAAGAAAACCACAAACTAGCAGAGCAGACCTATTTCTTTAGTCTGTAATATTGTTTTATGTTAAAAGGAAAGGATGACTCAAATGAGTTCATGTCTGTACTGTCACTGGAAGATATAGGCAGACGTCTTTCTCGTACGAGGAGGTGTTTGTATTTGTTCCAGAGCTCAGGGTCTAGTTCTCCTCACTTGTCCTTGTTACTCCGGTGTCGGCTTTATGGTGCTGTCTCCAGCGAGAGGGCATTGGGCGCTCATGATGTGTTTGTTGGCACAGACCGAATGTTTCCATCAAACCACTGGGGTGGCAGAAAGAAGGATGAAAGGAACGCCAGGAGGAAAAGAGAGGAAACACTTCAGTGGTTTAGATGAATAGATGTTGGTTTTAACGTCTAAATCATGGCTGCACGGAGGGAAGAAGAAATATGGCTGAAAGAAACCCTGGCCTGCTCACGTTATAATAGGCTGACTCATCTAAATCCGAATGCAGTTACAACTTATTTTACATCATTGTAAGCAATTATGTTGTTTTACATTTCAGTGTGTTACAGATGCATTTTAGCTGTTTCTCTTTAGAACCACTTAAAGTACTTTCTGCACAAAAGTTATGTGTGCAATTTTCTCCTGCTGCAAACGGCGTTCTCTATTAGGGGAATTACTTATATATATATCAAGCATGCAGAAGTGTGCTTTCTATGTGCCGCTGAGGTTTTTGATAGGCCTTTTCCACTATAGGAATTTCTGGGTAATTCCAAACAGACCTTCGTTGCATTCACATGACCAAGAGGAGATTTAAGGTACCAATCCAGTACTGGAACTGGGGTATGTACTCGGGAAAGACCCAGTAGACGTTCGTTTTTGGTTGTTTTTTTTTTTTCCGGAACTGCGCTGCTCTGGGCGGCTGCATGTTGGAGTAGCTCTGTTGACTATATGTAAGTTTTGCCTTTTCTTGGACATTTTTTCTTCTAGTTTCCCAAGGAAAACGGTATTTTTTTGGACATTTTATTTTTCTGTTTCTGGTGCTGTGAAGCTTAGAGGATTTTTTACTGCTATTTTTTCCACTTTTGAGCATTTGTTATGATGCGTAACCATGGCAACAAGCTGGTTTACAATCGGGAGCAGCTGACTAACATTGGAAAGGCTGAAATAATACCTCAACTGAAGCCACAAATCCCAAATGAGCTAAAACGCAAGAAGCGTGGGTGCAGAGCGGGAGCAAAACGGAGACAAAGAGGAAATTCAAACCATCTCCTCCATCGATCATAATGGGCAATGTGAGATCACTGGCCAACAAGATGGAGGAACTCCAAGCCCTTTCAAGGACTCAGCCAGAGTTTCGGCAGTTTCGGAACCGCTGGAGGAGATAATGCAAAGAAGGATTCTCCAGAGAATCAAGAAAATGATGGACAACCCTGAGCATTCTCTTCACAAGACTGTCCGACAACGCAAGAGTGTCTTCAGTCAGAGGTTTCTTCAGTTTGGCTGCAACACTGACCGCTACTGGAGATCCTTCCTGCCAACAGCCATTGTAATATACAATAACTCTTTGATGACTTGATTATTATTATTCTGAGCTACTACAGCAATCAATTTCCCTCTGGGATTAATAAAGTATTTTTTAATCGAATTGAATTGTTCTGGACTTCATGCTGATTGGTTGTAAGTCAGTGGGAAATGATGTCGGAGGACTTTGCTCAACAATCATGATATGTAGGATCTGAAGAGTTTTTGGTGAAGCAGAAAGGAAGGAAAAGAAAGTAAGCAGCTTTCACGCTACTGTAAAATCACTGTTTCTAAACTCCTAACGCCGAACAATGCTTCAGAAGTCCCTCCGAACACCGAACGTCACATTGTTTTATGGAAATACTGTAAAGAAAACTAAATAAGCACATCTTGTGGTCATTCAGAGCCTCTTTTCACATCTCAAACGGTGTTTTCTGTCTCTTGAATGGATTAAATTATATATTCTGACTAAATGAAACTTTTAGCCGAATGTTTTATTAATGCTCGAGGACGTCGTTTGGTGCTGATCAGCGACATCGCTCACTGCTGAAACGTTTGCAATATGCTGACCTGAGAGGACTGAGCCATGACATTATTCCTGTCACCTTCCCACCTCCCAGAAATTTCCCAGAACTCCTATAAAGGAAGCATGGGTAACATGTCACATTATCAATAAAACGGCTAAAAATCTTTTATATTTAGAGGTTATACTCCCACCAACCATCAGGGAAACTAGTTTTAAAAAGACAAACTAATGAGGCAGCAGAAGGAATAAAAAGGTCACTTTCTGTCCTGTCTGAATCCAGTGAAGCATGTATTTAAACTGTAATAACATGGTTATCAATTTTACCTGCATATGAGAACAGAACACTTTCTCAGCTAGCAATAAAATACTCAACAAAATGGTTTCAGAGCCAATAAACAGAGTTAAAATCTTCATTCTGATGCCATTAGGCCCGGGCTAACACACCGTCATTTGTTTTGGTGGCTGCAGAAACTCTGGCTCATGCACGGGTCAGATTAATTTTCCACGAGAACACATTTATCGCAGAGACAACACAAGATATTTGCCTCTGAGTCATAGTTGTGGTCTACTACTCCATAAACATTTACAAGACTAAATGCTCACTGACAGGATGAATATAGTGAAGAGTGAGCCAAAAAATGTTTCGTTAACCTTTCGGGACTCATCTACCGACATCCGGCTCAGACATCAGCTGGGCTCATCTTTAGGGCAGTAGACATGAATCTGTTTTACGCTCATAAAAATGCACTTGCTCAGCAGTAGCCGTGTCATCTACTGGAGAAAATACTTTTTGATCTGATTCATTTTCCTGCAAGTTTCTGCTTTAATAAAACAGAAGACAGACTCGCCAATTATTGCCTGATTTTTCAGTCTTCCACACGTTTCTAACACTAAAGCTAACCATGTAGCATCTCTCCAGTCAGCAGAACAAAATTACCAGTCAACACAGAACACAACCACATAAAGAAAGCACAAAGATTGTTGGTCTTGCTATTTATACACACAAGCAGAGGCTGGGGCACCCAAAAGCAAGAAACACAACCAATCAAAACATTCCGATCATCATTACAACACTGCAATCGTCTGAGGACAAAGACAGGATTGTGTTGTTTACATTAATTAGGCACAACTTCAGAATTAAATAAAATTAGGACAAGCTAAACTAATCATAATAAATAAAAAAAATAAGCTATATATTCAGGATTTGCATAAAGTCAGCCACAGCTAATACCAGATGCACAGCTGGGTTGTAACTTTGTGAATTTACAATATTGTAGATGGTTGCATTGAGGTAAAAGCCCACAGACACATAAATATCATTGAATGTTTATTATTATTGTGTGTAAATTTTTTTAAACCTCAGTTTTTTTCTTCAATAATATCATCTACAGTCAGACATTTTTGGCAAAAACATGCGCACTAATTTCAAGATAGTACTGTTTAATACTTGCATATAAGTAAATCTACACAATGTAATTTTTTTAAGGGGTTTCACTGTGGGAAAAGGGGTTTGGCCATATTATATTGTTATTTAGGAGCCATTTCTTTGTTGGATTGTCCCAACTTGAGGGTTAGGATGCAACAAGATGGATCACAGGAAGTTTTCCTGTTTTTTATTCAACAACAAGGTGGATCACAGGAAGTTTTCCTGTTTTTTACTCAAAAAGTCTTTGGGAATAAAAATCCGAATTTATTTATTGTCTGTTTAAAATGTACGAGCGTTTAGTAAAACAGCTGATTGTTGAATTTGAAGAATAAGCTTTAAAGTATAAAACAATTCTGAAACTGAAAAGAAGTTATGATTGTAGGAAAAAGTTCCAAATATTTTCAAAAATTCAGCTCAGAATTCAAAGGAACAATATGTAAGAATTTTACAAGGAAATAATCACAAAACTGTTTAATATCTGGAAGGTTAAATTGAAAGAAATTTCCTTCTGATTCTGCTGGGGGGTTGCCAGTTTTTCTCCTTTTAAAATAGTCAAAATGGGACGTAGTCACTGTTTACACTCTGTGAGCCTGCAGGAATGCAGAGTCTGCGCCAAGCTAACGCTGCAGTGCCAGCAATTGTAATTTGACACCGGCCAGGTAAAAGCACCAGAGTTGTTTAAAGAACTGAAGTCAGTAAACCGGAGCGACCCAGAAGTTATTTCTTGTACCACTAGGAGGCCACGGCATTGTTATGTTTTTTTTCTAAACATGGGGGTGACAGTGGCACAGGAGTTAAGTGCTCGCCCCGTAATCGGAAGGTTGCAGGTTCGAGCCCCGCTCAGTCTGTCGCTATCGTTGTGTCCTTGGGCAAGACACTTAACCCACGTTGCCTGCTGGTGGTGGTCGGAGGGACCGGTGGCGCCAGTGCTCAGCAGCCTCGCCTCTGTCAGTGTGCCCCAGGGCAGCTGTGGCTACATTGTAGTTCATCCCCACCAGTGTGTGAATGTGTGTGTGAATGGATGAATGACTGATTGTGTTGTAAAGCGCCTTGAGGGGTCCAGGACTCTAGAAGGCGCTATATCAAATACAGGCCATTTACCATTTTCTGTTATCAGGTAAAGCAGACTAGAGGCTAATGTTGAGCTAACAATGCTAACAGGTAATTAGAAGCAACTTGATATTACAGTGATATATATGTGTGAAGTTAATAATGAGTCAATCGTGGTGTTTTATTTCTTTTAACGAGTCATTCAGAACTATAACAGCAAGCGAATATTAATACAACCACACTCCCTCCGACGCGATAGACAAAAGTGTATTAAGCGCTCTTTACTGTAAAACACCCAAGAGTGCTAACACCAGAAATAAATATTTACCTACTTATCAACTTACTTTAGCCCTTTTTTAGAAGGCCCACTATGCTGGCAAATCAGCATAATACTGCCGCCACGGTGGGTCTTATTCAATTCAAGTTTATTTTTAAAGCGCCAAATCACGACAAGAGTCGTCTCAAGGCACTTCACATAGTAAACATTCCAATACAGGTCAGTTCATTAAGCCAATCAGAAACAAAGTTTCCTATATAAGGAACCCTCAAAATTGCATCGAGTCACTGACTTGCGTCAGTGATTTTACAGCAATCCTCATGCTAAGCAAGCATGTAGCGGCGGTGGAGATGCCCTTATGAATGCTCCGTGGCGGCATGGCAATAAGGGAATTTTATAGGATTAGTAACACCACACTTAGTAGTAATGTTACTGCAACACTGGACTTGTGAATGCATATTACGCCTTGGCGCAACAGAGGGAGGCGTCATGATCACGTGAGGAGTTACTGCCGAGCTCTGGCCGGCAACTACATTGAAAATGAAAGTAAACACGAGCAGTAAGTTTTGCTTTTGTTAACAGAACCAGCTGACATGATAAACTGGAGCGATGCAGAGCTCCAGGAGCTTCTTTCTGTTGGAACTGGAGGTCAGATCACCAGAGAACGATTAGGACGGTGGAGGACAAACACCTTTAGGAACGACCTGTTAAAAAAACTTAACGAGCGGAGCTACGATTGCAATGAAAAGCCAGTTATGTCCAAGAAAAAAAGGCCCCCACACCCCTTTATACCGGCATTGCGTAATGTTTTGTAAAAAGGACACGAATGCGCCACATCACTACCAAGGTCTGACCACTTATAAACAACCTAACCCCAAAATTCCACTATCTCCGCTTTGCTCCGCCCCCCCTTTCCGCTGCCGCTCGTTTCTGAACTCAAGTTATACTGGTACCCGCTCTACAACGGCTCCGCTCCGGTGCGGAGAACTGAGGTGCGCAAACAGGCATCCGCGGGATTTTCGAGATCTTGCGATAGTCCGAGCAATAAACGCGGAAGTTAGATCCAAACACCCGTTGTGTGGGAGAAGCATCGAAATGAACTGTTTAATCTGCCCATCATTTGTGTTGAGAGATCAGCAATGTTTGGATCAACAAAGTGTGACTACTTTGATAGTGGAAACTGTATTTATGGCTTATTTTTGTGCATTTAAAGTTCAACCGCCATTGATGGTTGTTAAAAGTTGTTAAACCTGTGCATATGAAACAAAAAAACGCTTTTGTTATCGATTTATTGTGAAATAACGGAAGTTGTGCTTGCTCCCTTTCCTGTTGGGCGGTTGTGATTTCTGTCCATTGACTGCGGCGCACGGCTGCAGTAGTGGAACAGCTCTGATTGACTACAACGGGACCGTTTTTGCTGCAGAGTTCGTGCCGGAGCGGAGCGCAGCGGAGTGGAGATAGTGGAATTTTGGGGTAAGACTCCCAGATGCCGGCTCAGCGTTGTGGCAAATTGGCGGCATTGTTTTCTAAAAGAGGCTAGAGTATGACTTGTCTTCACTTCTCTAGAATCTTCTGGTGCTGTAACTGGCAACTGCCATGAAACTCACAGAAAGGGAGTGAGAAAGTCACTTTTTGTTCAGAAAAACAGACTCTCACCAAAATGTGACCACAGGATTTCTTTCTTATTCCATTCTTACATATTGCACCTTTAAATGTCTCTCTCTGGCAGATCCCGTCACTGTGCTTTATTTGTAATAAAAACTAAAAAATATTCAATTAAAACAGAGAATGCTAAATTTCATCCTGAGAAAAGAATAGCACTGATTTTGAAAGTGTTTTATTCTTCTACATTTGTGAGGCAGCCCGGAGAACAGGCATAAATCCTGTCATGTGCATCCACCTTAATATTGACATCAATGCTGTTTTCTATAAAGTTAGTGTCGGGAACACCAGATTCCCACACCAGTGGGAACACCACAAGGGAACACCAGATAGATATGTTAACGTCTATTAAACCCACTGAGGGAAGCCTCACTGTGTGCGTCTCACTCTGTAATTCACTCTTATTTAACCTTTGATGACTTGGCCTTGATTCTGCTAAACAAGCATTTATTGTCCGCTTTACCTAGATTGTTTTTACAAAAATGTCACATCTTCTTGTGACTGTACCCAGTGCCAGTGAGCGTCGTACTCCAGGTGCATTTTACCGTTCAGTTTGCATGTTTCCAAATCAATTTTTCCATTTTTGCAAGGCTTGACTATTGGGCTTTGGCTTTTTCCCAGTTTCTCACTGAGACCTTTGCGAGTTGGGCTGCTTATATTTGCTGTTGGTTTCTCCATGATGCCATTAGCCTTCTTCGACTGTGTCTGAGTGTTTTCCTTTGAAACAAAGCTTGCTTTATCCACCCCTGCAGGCTTGGTCCAGACTGGAGCATCTGACTTGGAGTCCTCGGATGTGACTGCTGGTTCTCCAGCTCCACTGCTATCAGCCGCAGTAACAACACTTCTCACAATATTCACAGGTCCACCTCTAACCTCTGGCTCACCTCCATCCCTTTTTAGACTGTTAGTTGTCCCAGACCAAATCCCAGTTCCAGCACCATTGCCTGACCGGACCCCCATTCTAGGTCCTGTCCCAGACACCGTGACCCTAGATCCTCCCGTTATGTGACCCCCAGCAGTAGCCTCTGAGACTAATGGAGTGGTGGAGCAGATGACCGACTCTGAGCTTGAGGGGCAATACTCGTCCATGTCGTCAGCCAGAGTGTCCAGGTAGCTGCCAATCGAAATGTTGTCCAGTTTGTCATTAGTGGGATCCTGCAGGCTGCTCCAGGAGCCCCTCCAGGAGGTGTCGGGTCCTTCCACTAGACTGTACTGGCTGCTGGTCAGGCTGCTGCAATTGCTGGTCAGCGTGCTGCGCTCCTCCATCAGCCACTTCACTGCCTCGATACCCTCGTGGACAGCAAGTAACTGTTGCAGAATCTTTACATCCACTGAGCGTAAATGAGCCTGAGAACACACAAAAATGATTTTAAAATAGTTTAGAACATGCATGATCATTTTACCAAGATTAGAAAGAGGAGTTAGTTCAACTGTAGATGAACTAGATACTGGATCAGACTATTTACAGTTTGCCCCTAAGCTTTCTGCATGGACTCCCACACCTCCTATTCAAAAGCAATCATTTTGCACTCCTCCTCTAAGTTTCTGCTCCTCTGTGAGGAGCTTCTCTGCTCTTTATCTGACCAGCAGCTCTGAATGTTAAATATTGACAGTAGCAATTGATCTTTCTTGTGCAGGAACACACAAAGCATGCTTTTTTACCCCAGCGGTTGAATTTCTGCAATTGAAGTTTTTCTTGCACAGAGCAGTACCATTAGTCTAGAGGAAGTTTCCTTACTCCTTTTGCAATAAACAATATGTTTGTCAGTAAAACAAAACTACGCAAATGCATTTTTACACACATTAATGACTTATTTAAAGAGCAAGTCACCCCCCTACTGGAGTCTCACTCCACCCACGCTTACTGTTTGAAAAGTGTGCCACAAGGAGGGATTTCCTGGCGGGCCGAGAGGGCGGTGCTGCGGCAGTGACTGCCACACCCCTTCGCACCATCTGAGTAGAAAGTTGTGAAAGGACGATGGATTGACACGATGCATGCTAGGCCCTTAGAACTGACTGTATTTACGAAGACTTCAGTTGAGTCCTCAGCTCCACTGATGCCCCTCTGAGTACTGTTATGCTTTAGGACCCAATTATGGCACAAAAACAAGAACACAAACACACAGCCACACTTATCTGCACAGAAACATCCACACATGCTTTATTTTTGTCTCTGCGGGTACAATGAAATAAAAAACTTTGTAATAACTGTACCTAATTACTTACTTTGCCTAAATATATTTGCTGTTTAAGGGCAAAAAGGAGGGTAAAATGGGCCAAATTAATAAATTAAACATAGATATTTATTCAAACGCTATACCCAACTCTCACAAAGGTGAGAAGTCAGTTCAGACTTGTGAGACGCATACAAACACAATTATAACACGATTAAACTTTTGGCTATAATTGGAATAAATATTTAACTGCTGACAGCAGGTGGAGGCCACACTACTAAAAGAAACAGCTTCACAGATGAAACAAAATATGACCTTAACTGGATCTGCAGGAAAACTTTGAGATAGAAATAAAGGGTAAAGCTAAGGTGAAACATGTATGTGTGGTCGTGGGAACTTTCTCCTTTAGAATATATTTGTAGAAATCTGCACAAACAAAGGATGATTTGGGGAAATTAATATCTGAATCTCAACAAATGCAGGATTTCCACTTATCACAGAAGACACATGTCCATTTAACAATAAAGACCTTAAATGATCAGTGTTCAGCATTTTTTTTCTAACTTTAATCCACAATTAAAATCTCACCCAAAATAAAGAATGTTTGCCTTTCCATGAATGGGGAAGTACTGTCTGAGGTGAAGTTGCCACAATATAAGAGCAAGAGTACCGTTTTTATAGACAGTCCCTTTCTTTGTGTCTGGTTCTAATTATAGAGTTAGCTTCTGGTGTGTGAAGCTCAGGTGAGATCTGCTGCTAACCTTAGCCAAAAACACACGTTTGCTGCTACATGTCATCGACTGTGGCTGGGCTTTCACAGGTCATCAGACCGCAGGCTTGACCAAGTCTGCACCTCAGTGGTTTCCTCTCATCTCCTAACCTGCTAAGAAGGAAATTTTTGAAGCGTTTCACCATCCTAACTTGATTCTAACACATAATTAAGAAGCAGCCGCCATGCAGCAAAAGGCCATGAAGTCACCTTCATACACAGAAAACATGACATCCCACATGTGATCTTGCAGTTGCCCCGGTGCAATAATCGCGCCGTCTATCACGCTTAAGTGGCACGAATGTCAGATGAAATGCAACATGAGCGTTCAGAGTGAGGCCACTTTGGGAAAAAAACAAAACAAAAAACAGATATGGATCCAGTTTAGATCAACTCATGAAACTGATTTGGGTCATAGAACAGTTGATTTGTGCTGCTCAGACTGTTCTAAATAAATGGGTCACACATGGGCAATAAGTCCGATTTTATTTGCAGCTTTTCTTCAGAACATTTCTGTTTTTGTTTTTACCTTTGGAGTTTCGCCACTATTTGGTTATTTTATTTGAAGTGAACCGTAACAAAGAAAGAAATTTGGCCTTTGCCAATCTCCACCATATCTCCACCATATCTCCACTAGAGGGCAGTAGCTATATCAAGATATGGGTGTGCTTTTTGATGAAAGTACTAATCCTAGTACTTCATCATTTTAGTTTAAGGTTTGAGGTTCATGGGTGATGGAGATTAAAGGCGTTGGTGATAAAATAAGCTCCATGCATACCGGAGCTTTGCAGAGCCTTGTTCAAGACTTTTAAAATGGGGTGGCCCATGTGGGGCACTTGTTTATGCATGGGTGGCATCAATGGTTATGCTTATTTATTTATTTATTCACACAAATTGTTTATCTATTTACTTTCTAGTGAATTTTGGAGTTTCACATTGCACAATCACCATTTTTTTCTATTCATCTTCTAGTTTTGTGGTGGTTAGCAAGTCACTTCTTGTTGCGATATTGCCACCAACTGGAGTTGAGTGGGACTCTAAATACTATTTATGTGAATATGAAAAAATAATAAATAATATTAATACTACAGAAATGTTCTGTAGGCCTGGGCTAGAAGACAATGTTAAAGGTGCATGCTACCACACACTATTTTTGGAGTTTACAACTCAAGCCTTTTGTCGACAATGTAAAGTCAATTTAAACTGGAACTTAGTAGGGTGGCAACTGGGGTGGCCAATCAGATTCTAAGGGTGGCATGCGCTACCCCAGGCCACTCCCTGGACACGCCCCTGGAGCTTTGTGTCTCACTCTACCTGCCTGAGAGGAAATCTCTATTTGATTTATGCAGCTGCCACCGCTCAGTATGTTAGTGTTTTACTGAAGTAACCCAAGAAAAAAGCTGTTTTATAGGTTTACCATTCTATAAAATATGCAAAGATACTTGCTCACACTAATCTGTGATTCTTTAATAACTCCACGTGTCTGTTTTAATGCTGGTTTGTTAAATATCTTATCCATTATTAAACAAGTCAGAAACATGCCGAATGTCTTCTTACTTTGTGTCACCAGAGGAATGCAGTTGGTATTCGTGTCAGTGTTGTTTAGTATTGTTTATGTTTTTTGTTGCTGGAGAAGTAATTTCACATGCACCATTGTCTCATACTTAATCCCTTAAACCCTTTAATTATGCAGTGAATTCAGACATGCTCATTAGAGAAAGGTCACTGTCAAAAGGAAAAGGGTGAACCTGAGCTTAAATTGTTTTGATTTGACCGCAGACAGGATGTAAGTGGCACAACACAGCCTGGAGGGCTGTCAATAATCATCTTTTTATTTTATTTAATTATTTAGAAGACATCGGTGCACTGCCAAACAAATTTCGGCTTCTTAACTCAGGCGTGAGGCACCATCTGGTACATTCAGATTTCTGGAAAACTCTTTATCTGCCTTTTAAACATCTTGTAAATTATGGTTTTAATTATAAATGAGTGTGTAACATAGAATTTAGTCACTAAGAAGAGATTTTACTAGTGTTAGGATGTATGTGAAGTCACTTAGCCCAACCCTGAGAATTTTAAAGGTTTATAACGCTGAAAAAACTAAGTTTAATGATTATGTCTGTTCATTATCAGTCACTCTGGGGTTTTCATGCAGGCTGAACATGAATACTGTCTCCTACACCTATCTCCTGCATTAGCTTCTGATACTGTAGAAAAGTGATGGTGAAGCTCCAGGATTTGAAAAGCCTGACATATGTACCTCACACTGTCACTTATCATTCATGGACTCACCATCACAACTCGCAACGGGGAAGGCTATTGTTGGTTTAGTGTCCAGATAACAGGAGAGAACGCCTCGGCAAGTAGAAGCTAACCGTTAGCATTAGCAACTCCACCACACAGCAGAACTCCTTCAGGTTTGTGTTATTGGTGGAGATAAAACATCAACGTTGCAGAGCAAACAGAGTCAGTGGTAGAATTGTCTTGCTGTTAGCCAATCAGAGGCAAGATGTCCAAATATTAACAAATAAGACTCTAAATACTGCCGTCTGAAGCTCGGTGTTTGCTAGGAGATGTACGGAGCATCCTGTCCACTCACTGGTCAGTGAATGAAACCTCCGTTGATTGGTCCTCGTCCGAGCGACAGCGATGAAAAGTTGAAAATATTTCAATTTTCTGGGATCGCATTGCTGGGTCGCCACTCACCTATGCATGACACGTGCACGAGCGCAAAATTTCACACGCAAGTTTTTCGCATTTCGCTTAGTAGGAGGGAGACCCGCGATTATCGCTTTGTCGCACATGTCTCATTGAAAATGAATGGAGGAGAGGCGATGTCGCCTCCCGTGTGTCGAGCCCATTCTACAGCATACCACAAACCCTGCATTCCTATGTAAATTGGTAATGTTGTGATTGCCGCAGAAAACAGTTTGTTCTGAGAAAAGCTGGTTTAACACAATTTGCATAGACACACTTGAATGTCTGCAATATATAAACAGTCATGGTTAAGCTAATCGCAGAACGCCAGCCATAGTTACTGCTAATGCTAGCCCAAGCTACTGCAAACGTTATTAGACAAGGAAAACAACAAAGAAGAATGTCGGAGTACACTTGTAACAACGGATATAAGAAAATAACAATATGACAATATATCGTGATTTTTTTCCTGTGATATTACATCGATTTTCAAAAGTCGTGTATCTAGTTTTTGGAAGAATTTACATGCAAACATTTGTGCATTTTCTTTTCTTTTGGTGCAATTCAAACACCGACCGCTAAATGGCAGCAGTGTGCAATGAGTTTTGTTTCCAATTTTCCTATATTATAGTTCAGACACCTCATGTTAAATGTGTTAAGTATCAGTTTGGACTGTTTATTGAATATTCCTACAATAAATTCAGTTA